CCCCCGCCCTCTCTCTCTTTCTCTCTCTCTCGCTCTCGCGGCGCCGAAAGATCCACGCCAGGAATTCGTCGATGTAATTTCGCGCGAGCGATAGAGCGACAGGTCGGAATTTGCGCGAGCGTTCTTTTGTCGTCGGCAATATTACTATGACGGATTCTTGGCTGTGAGCGCAGCCAAGTTATTTCGCAGCGAATAAGAACGGATAAGAGATCGCATGATTACCACGCGATCGATCATACTCGCCATTCAAACTTCGCACGCGAATGGGATATATAACGGCAGAATCGATGCCATAATTCTTTAATACCTGCCGACGCGATTGCTACAATCGCTCGTTTGTGCAACGCGCGAGGGTGGCGTAACGTAGTTTTAACGTTTCAACAGTTCCGGATTCGATACCAGCTGCTGATTAAGAGGCGCGAGCGGGTATCGGAGTCCGCCCCGCCAGCGGAAATTTAGCGCGATCCGCGTGAGAATTACGGCTTTTGGATGCGCCATAATGAGAGCGGGCCAGCGGATCGAGCGAGGCAAGAAGAATCGACCGAATCGACAACGGGGGGAGTAAACTTTTCTCTGTAAATAAACGCGAGGGTGTACCTGCGGACCGGTCGCGACTGTGTAATAAGACCTCGATAGCACCCGCCCGGTATTGGCAAGGCTTGATTTATTCCGGCCAACTGAGACGGGAGCGTCGGAACGTGTACGGTAAAGGAAAGCGCGGGTGGCGACCCGTAGTCGAGAGTACACGTATCCTTTCTTCCCGCCCCTTCGGCTCGCGAAAGGCGTGGGATTGCATAAGCCGCCGTTAGAATCCCTATATTCCCCGGCTCTCGACTTTATAACGGAACGTTCGTCTGCGAATGTGGTCGTCGTAGAAAAGGCCAATCCCGAAAATCCCGCGTCGCACGTACAACCCTCGGAAAGGCGACGTTCCCGAATCGACTTCGTTCCCGATCTAATCGCTCGAATATTCTTCTTCCCGGCAGCACCTCGGCACAGTCGCGCGCAATACATATCTGCGCGAAAATTTCGCCATTCCTACGCCACATCAGGATCGGCATATCCTTTCTCGGATATTAAGTGAATATAGAATGAAAGCCACGTTCGAGAGAACGGCGCGTATGCGGCGCGGCTTCTTCGCTGACAAGCGATCGATTAGGTGATAGCATTAGGAGGATACGAGCAAATTTTGAAATCTTCTCAGGCGTTTTATTTTACGGGCGACCTTTCAATTTTCTACATTAACTGCTCTCGGAACGACGAAGAAACGCGCGCGCGTTCTCTCTCTCTTTCTCTCTCTCTTATATTAATTTCGCGCTCTTTTTTGTAGCTGACATCAATCGATGGGCCATTATGGAAATCCGATTAGAATGTGGCTCGTGGCTCGTAAAATTCACAACGGCAAAGCTCAATGTAGACCGGCAGTGAAACGAGAGACTGAGCGCTGGCACAAGCAGTTTACGCCCTCGGAAAAGCCGCCGTCGCTCGCGGAATTTAAGTTCCTAACTATTTGAACGTTTGCCAGAAATAAGCCCCCGGACAGTGCCGTCGACCAGGAATTATTTCTTAAGTTCCGCAACGCGTAACTTTATTTCTGCGTAAGCGAGCCCCGCTCGTCGACGGCGAGCGGGGCATTTAAAGGCCGTATAACAATGAACAATGTTGTCTTGGCTTGCGCGTGATAACATAAATAGCTCATCAAGAGACAACGATGGCTTTTTGATTAATGGAAGGATAAGAACGAAAGAAAAGTAAAGTCGCGATAATAAATGATGCCGCTGCCCGTCGTAACTTTTACTCGGGTCATTATAGAAATCTTTCTGCGCGCGATAGGGGCAAGAGCGGGGAATAAGCCAGATGTGGAAATGCGCAAGAGAGGATGGAAAAAAAAAGGAGGGAAAGAGCCGGGAATTCTCTCGTTCGTTAACGAACGCATCGGCACGCTCTCAAAGGAAATCATTACTCGCGATTTTTTTCCGTTTGCCCAAGAACGAAGTAATAAATTGAGAAAAATCGCGATGCCGCGCAAGATCGGGAGCGAGCACCGCACAGTTTTGCGACGAGCGAATCACCGAATCGAGGTAACGCGGTACAGAATCAAGGGGGTAACCACATAGCTCAAATGTTGTCCCTCCGATTGCACCATTTCATTTGATTTCACACGATTTTATCCGATTACAAATAATCTCACCTAATTGCAAATCATTTTCTTATATATGCACGTTTAACAATATGTAACGTTGTTGAATCTCAAAGAGCTGTTAGAGTTGTTCAAAATATATTTTTCTTATCTTACTAAGAAATATTTGCTTGTAGAGATAATTTCAGTTAAGATCGTGGTATTCGGTCACGTGTTTCCTTGCTTCGCATTTTTCCCACTAGTCTAACCGTGGTCTTAACGAAAAGTAATTTTGTATTTGTATTTACTGTTCCAACTTTGCGCGCACAGGTGTATCAACGTTTCAACTCGCTGTTGTTCTAACAACAACTATTTCAGTCTTATTATAAAAAGAGTACGCGCTTATAGGTGTGATCTATGATATATATTTGGATAATCACTAAAAGAAGTAAATTTTTTTGAAAAGTGAAAACAAGCTGAAAAAATGTTCAAATTTAATTTAACGTTTATTGTCTATCAAGTGAAGAAACTTGAAAATGAAGACGAAACGATTACACGAGGATTTCGTAAGGATTTCATCAGGATTTCGGAGACACTGTGCCACGATTACATCAGGTGGTTACCCCCTTGTACGGAATGTACCGCGTACGCTTCTGTACAAAGAGATTTGTAATAGAAAATCATATTGGCAAAGAAGACACCAGTTTTGGTCAAGCTGTTCCAGCCTACGTCCCGCTCCTCGAGAGATTCTCAATGTACGAGAAGGATCTTCACTAGCCGTATCGATACTCGATCGAAAGTTATAGAAAATGATACGCTCGGGCGGACTTTATAACGTAAAACGAAAGCCGAACGATATGTAGGAGAATAATATACCGCAATCGTTCGTTCCGCCAGTTGGGTCCGCGAAATATTCCGTTTATTTCACAGAACACAGAATTTATTCCAACCTTGTACCTGGTATTTCGGTCAGATATTTCATAACCCTCTATTGCAGCCACGGCGACTGAAAAATATTTCGATATCTGCATACCTATATTGATTTCATCTCTCGCGCCGCTCTCTCCGTCTCGTTTCTCCCCTCGTCTTCGCTATCTTTCGCCACGTACTTCTGGCGTTCTTGTCACCGTGTTTCTAACAAGCGCGCGCGCGCGATTTGTCAAATCGCGAGATTTCGCCGGTATACAAGACGTGTATCTATGTAATATTATATGTAACACAAGATTACGGCAAAAAAGTGTACGAAACTTCAAGATGTATCTTATATCCAATTAAATGCATCCCCCGTCTTGCATATGCCAGTTAACTAGCTCTGTCGTACAGACAGATCCAATTATAATTGAGTTTCGGTAACTTTTTCACAAAACGTAGGATAGAGCAAGTTTTCTCGTGCCGATCAATAAATACGCGAGACTTAACTATCTGCCGAAGAAAAGAATGGCGCACTTATGAAAGGAGGAAAATTTCCCGGGGCCGGCTTTGAAACGCTCGTCATCGTAAATTTATACCTCGCGACACACGTCACTCGTGGCGCCGTAATTAATTTACAGTTATTCTATAAACATAAATATAAAATATATATGTATATATACACGTGTATGTATATGTAATGGCTCTTAACTCGAATGTACAAATTCGGGAACTGCAAGTGTTCCAAGTTCTCTTTTCCACGCGCCAGTCTCATTAATCTCGGCCAAACTATTCGCTCAGCTGTACGTTCTGAGGAACTAAAACCGTCAGGCTATAGAGATATCATCGGACATTGTAGATGAAAGCCCGAATTTGATCTTCAAAGTGTCTATTAGTCTTACGTCCGTTATTAATCAAATATAGCTGACAACTGCGATATTGCCCGCTATCAATCAATCATTGATAGTCGGCTGAGTCAGTCACGAATTATCCGGTGCAAGCCGGTTATGCAAGTAGATGATAGATGATAATGAGCTTACTATGCGTTAGAACAAGTTACACTCCGTTATTCAAGTCAAATATCTTTACGCGCCGCGGCTACAGCAAGTTAACGCAGCCGGCGCATAGTTTAGCGTATTTCTGTACCTTTTATCTTGTTCAACGTACGTGAAAGTGTGTAGCTCGTATGCCAGAGACCGGGTGCAACTACGTTGTCAATAACGAAAGAAAAATACAGATACGCGCGAATAGGGGAAAAAAGGAGAAAGACGGAAAGAGAGGATGCGAGTAAGGGACGGGACTCCAATTAAGTGGCGTGGGACATGGGCGCCACGAGAACATCGTTACAGCATCGAGATCGCCATTATGCCACGAAGAGGACGACCCTAACGACGTGGCTACCGTGATTTATGGTCCAGCGAAAACGCGCCGCGGGACACATGGATTATATGTCTACGGAGGGCGACTTTCCACTTTAGTAGTACTTTATAAGAGTAGATTAAGAGAATAATGCACGCGTGGCCTTTCATCTTTACCATTAGCGTAATTTGTCCTATTTCGCGTTAATATGCTGCGAATTACGCGATACATCTCGGATCACATCAAAGAAAGCTCGGCAAATTGATGACACAGGGTGCCTCGAGTAGCACATTTTCTCATTACCGAGTCGATCTGGAGTGTTTCCCTAACGAAAACTGTCCAACACTCGATTTTAAATCATCTCTTAATTGCCGACAAATCAGATATACCTATCGCTGTTTTCTTATTATTGGATTTTTCGTGTCCGCAGTTTCCGATAACGGTAATGGTTTCGAGACGATCTATACAAACACAGTGATTTACGGGCCGCACTGCGGTTGTCAGATCAAAGTGCATATCGTTAGTAGTAGCAGGAAATAGCGGCTCTTGATTGCTTCGAGGTTGCCAAGTCCCGGATGGTCAGATGAACACACACGCAATGACGCTCACTTACCTGACACCGCTAGATGGACAGTTCTGATTAATGGTGGGTGGGCGCTGACTTGACACTCGTAAAGGCCGGCATCGCGTTCCGTAGCGGAGCGCAGAAGCAATCGCCAGTCATTAGGCTTCTCAAAGGCCAGGGAAAATCTGGAGTCGCTCGCGTACGTGTCGAGGCCAATGGTGAGTAAATGAAGTTCTTCTCCCCGTCTACGTACCCAGGACACCTGTAATGAAAAAAAAAATAGCGGTTACAACTTTCGCCGTAAAAACTTTTTAATGCATATTGAGCAAAATAATAAGGCCTAGGGCATTATCTTCCTTCCCATTAACGATCAGAGCAATAAAATAGAAAACACTTTTCTATCGACACGTTCTTCCTCCTGGTCAGCTGCTGGTGACCTCCGTAAATTATTAACCGTAGACTCCGGAAAGTCGCTACTCGCTTCCGAACTTTACACGCGATATACAAGCGGGTGTAGACAAGGCATATTTATACGCGGTCGACTTTCGTGAGTGGACGTATAAGAGTAGTCTTGTACCCTTCGCGAAAGAAAGAGCGAGAGAGCGAGTGAGAGTGCCAAGAACACTTTGCATAAATCATGCACATCGAAGCTAATGGAACAGCGTACCATAAAAATACGACCGTATTGCCCGTAAATCACGATAAGTTATGCCGTTAACTGCTGTTATCTGACGCAAATATGTGTCCGCATTTTTAAACCGATTGTATCGTTCTCCCATTCATTAAATCACGGATAGAAGCTTCATGCGCAAAAACGTTTCGACAGCTTCGATAAACTTAATCAACCGCATAAACTCACAAGATGTTTTTGGCGTTAATTTCTTTTATCGTGCCAAGGCAGAAAAAAATCAATATTTCACAGAAGAGTAAAAACTCGAACCGCGTACGCGTGTTCGGCAAAATATGTTACGCAAGAGAAATATTGTACTAATATATATTTTAATAAAACGAAAAATACTTTCAGGTAAAACATATTAAAGATTATTTTACATATAATTTTTCATATATTTAAACCTGTTTTTGTTACAAAAGTTACGATTTTAAACATTTGCGCCAACTGAGAATAAAAAGCTTATGTAAAGTATAAAATAAAATTCTTTCACATTGCTATGCTTCAATATCCGATAAAACATATATAAGTACTGTATATTTTATGCTTATGAATATGTATCTCTAAATGTATATTTTAATGTACAATTGAATCTACGATGTGTATTTTCAGATGAAGGAATTTTAAAGGCTTTACAATTATAACATGTGTATTTGCCAAGGAAATAATTACTTTTAATTAAATATAATGAAAGCTTAATGGAAACAACCGACTTTGTTATAATAATTAAACGTGTAATATCTTCATTGCCATAGAGAAAAAAATTATTATTAATAATCAGATATAGGCATTTTTCATTTTTTTCATAAGATAATTTTACAAAGCTACATTTTTCTGATAATGCACAAAGCGTGATAAAAACATGTATTAATATAGGAGAGTCCTATGTAAAGTCCTATATAAAATCTTACACATTGACCGATATATTCTGACAATTAGTTTGCTGCAATTATGACTTTTGTATTTTATTTTCATGAAAAGCACAAAATTTTATTTTTCTCAAAACGTAAAAATTTGGCTTTAAAGTAATAATAATAAATTTATTTGCATATATATTTCCATATATTTTTTCGATCAAATAAAATACACTTTATTCATAAAATGTACTTTTCAAATAAGTGGTAATTAATGCACGATATGGTAACTCAGCAATTGATTTGAAATGTAAAAAACAAAATTTTTGCACAAATTTATTTTGTAATGAATTAAATATTTTTTTAGATAACTAGCGTGCAATTTTTTGGTTTGTTTTTACACATTACAGAACGCTCTCGATTATTCGCACACCAATACTCGAGCAAAAGCTGATTCTTCCGTTCTTCTCACTTATTTATCGAGATTTAATTATCAGAATATAATTATTAGTCAGAATATGTCGATCAATGTGCGAGATTCTTTGAATAATTAACGATTATTTATGAGCGTATTTAATTAATGTCGTCTCTTTATCACTAATCTACCATTAATAAATTATCACTAATGCATCGAGGCGATGATATATCAAAGCAGGTATTTTGACGATTTATTTTTTCAAAGTAAAAATCGAAGTTATTAAAAATAAAAATTTTCTTAATTATTACTTCGACTCAATATTTACAAATAATTATATATTGTACAACTATTTATGAATAATGTTTTCTATACTTTGATGGATTTATGCACGATTAGCATTGGAATTGCCGAACAAGTTTGCTGCCGTAAAAAGGTACCTATGTAAAATTACACAAACAATAAATATATAATGTACATGCTGTGGAATGAAAATGTTTAAATTTCAAATTTGTCGTTCATGTATATTTTTTAAATATTATATTTATTTTCATTGGAAATTGTATAATTTTAATTCTCTAAATTACTCAGTGTCCGCGTAATTGTATATATATTACTTGTTTCTAAAGTGTGCGAAATCATACTTGAATAATCAGTTTCTATAATAAATTATTTTATTGTACAATTTTATTTTCATGATTTGTTAAAATTATGATAATATATTAAATTTATTAATACCTATACTATTGATAGGTAAATTATGATATTGAATTTATATATCTATTATTAATATATTAAAATTACATAATTGTATTCCTCTCGAAATGCAAAACTTTTGGCAATAAAGTAATCTTATCTTCTCCAGTGACAAACATAGGAGATTTTACTCTTCAATTTTTATGCGTAACAATAGCATTCGTCAAAATTAGTTGGAGATACAAAAACATATTCGAGGTTGTATACATGCAAGTTTATATATTTTTAAATAAAATTATATATATATTTCTATTAAAAATATCATTTTGACGTTTATGCAAATATAATTTTAAACAAGAGAGAGCACCTTTAGGTCCGAGCAACATGTTGGTAGCCCAGTAATTGTAATCTAAAATGTCAATTTACCATGTATGCAGTTTTCCACCTTGTCCTGCGCGGTTTCTTTTCGGACATAACACAGTTTCATTTAGATGGAATTATTGTCGTCAGTAAATTCACATACTAAAATCGATAAACGATTTTTATTATTTTAAAATGCTATATTTAGCATTCAATTGCCCCCTCCCCGTACTATAAAGAATATAATTTTATATAACTTTTCTACGGTGCACGAAATCGTATTTTAACAATAAGTGATTGTTAAAAAATCAACAATTTTTAATGATTTATTAAAATCATACAAGAAAATCCCTTGGTATATTAAAATTGAGTATCCAATTTATCTTCAAGAAAACTTTTTGGCATAAAGTAATAAAAATCTGATTTATACAATTCCTTCCTAATAACCAGAATAAGATATTTTATTAGGTTCAATGTGAAACAATAGCATATTTATCGAAATTAATGCAGAACATAATTTTCAAGATAAAATTATTTCATAAAGTGTTATATGTATATTTAATATTGATATAAAACGAGAGTTAATTCCGAAATATAGAATGCTTCGAGATGACGAAAATTAGTTCAGTAGCTAAGAATTTATTTTCTCGCGGTAAATTAATGTCTATAAAAGTATTACGTATTTCGAGATAAGGCGGCAGCAACTCTGACCTTGGTATTTGTCTTGACGGCGTGCGACGCGCGGTACCCATTTGCTATTGCGTATACAAAGTTACTGGTTTCAAACCGACTCGGAAGGTCGTAAAACCGCCTTCGTTTGCAAAAGGTGGGGAAGGTCACTGCGCGATCATTCTCGTCCCGACACTCAGACCGACAGGCAGTCGAGCGAGCCGTTTCGTGCGTAAAATGTTATCACGCTTCGAGATGCGACGTGATAAGGAGAACATCATAAAATATTAGAAAGATATATACATCGTTCTCCGTCGATCTCATCAGATTACTCGCTTACTCGATTGATAAAATTCTTGCGACTCACGTTAAAACGCATCCGTTGCGAGGCAAGCATCGTGCGCGATTTATTGGCAAGGATCGAAGCGAGGAGCGGATCGGAATTCCAAATTAACGTTTCCTCGCGACTTGCAACAGTTATTTCTTGAAGGAATTCGAACTCATTGTGCGTCACGCTTCGAGTCGTCCGTCAATTTGGAAGTAATTTGCTTATCGCTTTCGCATCGAGAGCGTGGAGTACTTCGCGAATTGTGCGATCACTGTGACGGAGTACGTGGATCGTGTGATTTAAGTAACGGAGAGCCGTGATGCATCGATTGTTTAATAGCACTTGTACCCTGCGAAATTCACGCGCTCGTATTATATCACAAGTGAATGCGCGTGTGTGTTGTGTGTGTGTGTGTGTGTGTTTCGATTATACATATATTTTCGGACGGTTCGCTCGTGCTTCAATTGGCTGCTGACTCTATTCGCATTGTATTCCTGCAGCTTCGATACGAAATTCGAATCTCTCGGCAAGTCGTTGGATTTATGTAACAGGAGCCACATCGTTTCTTAGTTATCTTGAAAGTGTCTAAGAAAGTATCGTAATTATGACAAACAATTCGCTCTGGATCGCGTTTCCGCTTGGATTTTTCTCGTGAATGTGCAACGAAGGAACTTGATACGAAGACGAAGCCTTGGAGGTATCAGATTCATTGACAAAGTATCGTATCCGTGAGTACCTTTCTCTTTCAACTTTAAATGGGGTAATGGATCGGTGAACATTACAGTTAGATATATCATTCCACAGTAACCTTGAAATAAATTGGCTACGACAAATTAATATAAATGAGCTAAGAATAAATTAATTTAATCCTGGAATACGTGTAGTGGTGTAAACGTCTGTCGTTTCATTGCGCGTATAAAAATGCACATATGTGTATAGAGTCTGGTAATTATCGGACTATCTCTCGTGGGCAGATACAGCGGGTTAAACTGAATAAAAATGTCCTTTACCGCGTCTGTAAGATTCTCTCAATTATTAATGAGAAATTAATTAATAAAGATACGCGAATTAGTGTGCGCCCGTACGAGAAGCGGCAGCCCGGCGATTACTAATGTGCTAATACTAGGCAGAGCCTAGTTATTAGTTATTTTCTTCCAATACCTCGCCGCACGAATAGCGACCGTAAATGTCGAGCTGCTTCTTTTCGAATTGCACGGACGCACACTGAATCGCGGATCTTTATTAATTTCTTATTAATTATTGGAGAAAC